GTGTCTTGTCCGCGGTTTTTGTCTTTGGGATTTATAATTTGTTGTGATATGTGTTGCAGTTCTCCTACACTTAATATGAAACCATTGGACCTTTTAGCAGATTCAGTTTTTTAGATGCAGCAATAACGTATACAATAAAGTTTTGCACTGGATTTGTTCTATTGGATGAGTTGGTTATCTCGTTTATTTCAAATTTGTAGACTTACTGTTCTATCTCGTTTATTTCAAATTTGTAGACTTACTGCAAGTCGTCCTTACCTGCTAATTTCAGTATACTATCGAAAGCAAAATCGTTATATCCAAACCTACAGAGAAGGGTATTAATTAAGAACAATTAAACGCATCAAAATTAGTGATATCGACTCCTATTTTTCACCCACATCAAAGAAGCCACGTCCTCTTAGCACTCGATACGCATGGTGTGGACAGGTAACCTTGTGGCCCTCGATTAAAATCTTAATCCACGATAGTCTCATTAAACAGATAATAGGAAACGAATACATTTTAATTTTATGCCGAATCACAACAGGATTGAGGTCATTTTGCGTAAAACCAGAAAGTTTATCCATTAAATCTTTATTTGATTGATTTTAGATCAGGAAATATGTCTGACATTGAATCCTTCAACCATTTCATCTTTCTTTGAAGTAAAATTTGTTGAATATATGTCTTGTATGAGTATTTTTCTTCAGTTCCACAATCCACACAATGATTTGATTGAAACCCTCCAACTCATTGAATTACACTGAAGAGATCAGTTTGTGTGACAACTTTTGAAGTTTTATCAAGTATTATTGGTAATCTATATCCTATCAGGTTTTTTCCCTACTAATATTATACATACAGTACATAATACCACACACGGGACAATTGTCATGATAATTCTAAGATGGGGAGATTACCTTCATTTTTGAAGGCGCTCCCCGATAATCTGTTTGATTTCAGGTCACGGGTGACCACAATACAGTCACAATAAAAGAAATTATAGATAACGTGTACATTCACATCTTGGTTACTAATATTCATTCTGAACATGCGTAAAATTTGGGCTAACGGACGTTTCGTCCACATTGGTTAAATATGTGCTAAGGGTTAGAGCAAAAAATCACATTTTGCCGAAACGTCCTACATTCACAACTTAGGTATTATGATGTGTTTTCTGATTTTAGTGACAGGGTGGTATCATAGGTATCATAGCACACTGATCAGAAGTGAATTTTCGCTAGGCCGCTACAATCACTGATAAGGATGACATCGATGCGACTTAATGAGTCCCAAATATTAACTTTTTTCTTCCGTCAAATTAAATTCTAAAACATTTTTTTCATTTCTTAGAAAAATAAATAAAGCCGTTTGAATCATTTGTAGGTAAAAATCATTTCCTATTTAGTGTAAATGGGTATTAAAATAAGTAAAATTCACCATTTAGCCCGAATCAGTAGCGTCTTATGTAAACAATGCACGCGCTATTGAGCCAATGATTGACGCCGCGTGATGTGACGTCCCGTGTCGAAACAGTCATCTGTTACAGAGATATTAGAAGAAACAGATTGGTATCATAGGTCTAACTGTCATTTTTGAATAACCTTTTGCATTTTTGATTCCTTCTTCTGTCCCGTAGCCCAATGGTTAACGTGTGCGCGTTGCATCATAAGGTTTGTCACTGAGTCAAGTGTCGTGGTTTCGATTCCCCAGTTGTACGCTACAAAGAGTGAGGTCGCCTGACCAACCTCGTGGGTTTTCTACGGGTTCTCCAGTTTCCTCCCACTGCTAAAGACTCCTGGTTTCGAATCCCTGGTTGTACGTGGCAAGGAGTAGGGTCGTCTGTCCAACCTCGTGGGTTTTCTCCGGGTACTCCGGTTTCCTCCAACAGCTAAAGACCCCTACGCGCAATCGAATTATTGAAATCAAATTGAACCATGTGTTAGTCCCGAAATGACCTAGTTTGTGTCGAGTGGACGTTAAACCCCATCTGTCTCTCCCTCTCTCTCGCTAAAGACCCCTAAGCGCAAGCGAATTAATGAAATAAAATTGAACCATATGTTAGTCCCGAAATGACCTAGTTTGTGTCGAGTTGACGTTAATCTCTCTCTCTCTCTCTCTCTCTCTCTCTCTCTCTCTCTAGTAGCTCGGATGCGACAAGGGCATCAGTCTGCCTTCGAAAGTACCTCGGGGATTAGATATAAATGTAGCTTTATTGAGGGGGAAATTATCAAATTCATTTATATAAAGTGTTTCTTAATCAGGGTGTCTGCCTGCGTTAGCTTGTAGGACAACTTCCGACAATGTAAATTTGAACTTCTAAACCATTTGAATTTTTTTTCAACAAAATGTGGAGAGAATGTTGGCTATGCAGTTCCATTTGAAAATTACAGGGTGAAGTAGGGGAACATTGGATGGGTAAATGGTGAAACATAAGAAGAATTAATACATTAGACAATAAACATGGATGGGCGACGGAGCCTATTGAGCTATTGTTTATCATCATTAGTTTTATATTATATTAAATATCCGTCCTAAAATTAACCGATTTTATTTGAATGTACTGGTAAAGATTATACTGATAAACGAAACCGCAAATTTTTGAGAGAAAATGATATTCATTAAAATATAACCGTCTATATTACTAATGTATCACACGCCATTGGTAAAAAATATCTATCCCTTTGATCTTTATTTACTATATTCAATTTAATATAATATATAATTATGGTTCTCATTATCACATCAAAGTAGGTGTTGAGCTCCAAGGTAGGGGTTGTATTAATATCACCTAGATCACAGAGTACTCAACCGGTCTCCAGGCGTGAGAGAAAATTTCTTTAATATTAGAAAATAATTCGTTAGTGTGTGAAAGTAATGCGGTCTATATATTCACTAATCACTTCATAGAAAATACATAAATAATACCCTTTACTGCGTTTCTATTCAGTCTTCATTCAATAGAACACCCAAATTCTATCATTGAAATTACTTTTTTATCGTATATTTCGTTTCGGGATGGTTTGAGCCTCCATGCCTAATTACACCATGTCAAAAATCAAGTGTTTGAAGTCAAATTACTTTACATATTACTCAAAGAAAGAACAGTTCGTCGCTCAGCAGGCTCCTGTAAGTATCAAGGAAGATTTTGATGAGACAGTATTTAATCTTCACATCATTACATGCATTTTTATTCGTAACAATATGCGTAGAGTTACCTTCACGTGGTGGTCTCGCTCTAAACGACCACCTGACGTGTTAGCGGCCATTATGATTTCTCGGCGTTGTGTTGATACCCGTACTGCAATGATCAAATGGAATCCGAAAGCGTAAACACATATAGAAAGAGTGGCGTTCGAAAGACATTTAGCTCACTTCTCCAGATAAAAGAGCCATTTTCAGGTGATTTAATATTATTAAATTCAGTCAAACTTTTCACAGCCCCAATCAAGGTCCCGTATGACTATACCTAGTTAAAACCCAGATCAATGTTTTAGTTAGTGTAGTGGATGGCATGGTTTGTAGAGTGCGGTTTTGTTTTAGAGGGGGGGGGGGGCCGCCATCTTTTAAAATCCCTTGAGTAAACAAATACGACTTCCACTTCTTAGAACGCTAGTTGCCGATATGCCGAACCCCCCACCCCCGCAAAAAAAAAAAAAAAAAAACAAAAACAAAAAAACCCCAGAAAACCCCCAGAAAAACATTTAGCCTAAGTTCCACAAGTTACTAAATAAAAAGAATGTAGTTTCCATTAGCAAGGCAAGCGGCGCTTTTCGGGTCAATTTCCGAAGGTCTGTGTAGGCAGTGTCCCGTGTCCCAATAAAATATTCCACTTTTTTGGAACTCGGGATATCTGATCTTTTTTAGTTACCCCCTGCTTCTTTCCCAGTCCCAAATTTCATGTATCCGCGCTTGTATTGGTTATCATAGCCCAGAATAGGATCACATAATATAGTATGGAACTAAGATGTGTTAGCTTGTACAACATACTGGTAATAATAAAAGAAGACTTCATCTGATCCTATTCTAGGGTCTATCGAGACCGCTATCAGTATCGGAAATGGATACCGTTTGGTATGTGTGCCCTAAGATGACCCCCTTCGGTAATTTCAAATCTAAAAATGTTGTTAACATTGCTTCTAGTAGGCTATAGCTGTGATCAGTAAGTTCTTATGTAACATAAATCAACCACTACAAAGATAGAACAAATCTAAAAAAATACGTGTAATTCTAACATAATTCAAAAACACTATTGATAAAATCACAAAAGTTCAAAGCAGAGAAGATTAGAGTTAATGTTTTTGTACGTAGCTAAAGTCGTTAGCCATCAGAAGAGATCTATCGAGTGATTGACAGCAAAGTTGGCGCTTTTATGTTTGAGTTAATGACGTAGTCAATTTATAGGCGCTAACATCTATAGGGTGCCTTTTTATAGCCTAATTCCTTTTTGTTTACCTGATAAATGAATGATGTAAAGGCAACAAGTTAACCGATAGTTTCAACGAGTACTCAGTTGTCCCTTTATATTGTGATGTGTGAATTTTAAAATCAGAGAAAGAACACCCGTAGTTTTTTTTAACGCCAACGAATTTTCATATTAAAAGGCATTCTATAAAGTTGATTATTGTTCATGTTAAATAAATGCATCAAGGTAATTAGAAATATGGTTATACATTTTACAAGTTGTGATAAAGAAACGGGAGAGAGAGAGAAAAAAAAACCCACGTAGAAATAAGCGCTTTCCGTGTACCTCCGTTGAAACGTCCTGTATATATTCACAACAGATCTCGGCGGCGTGAAAATAACAAATCGTTAACATCAACAAAGTTTGTTAAACTACCGTTTTGTTTTGTCATTGCCAACGACATGTAAACAGTTTTATGTTTAAAAAACAGACCTACATTATAAGCGATTTAAATGAATGTATTAAAACAATGTCATTGTCATACGAAAAGTTCGTTATAGACATGAATATTTTTTAACGTAAAAATATTTAAATAAAATGGATTAAAACTTACCTCACACAAGTCATTACTCAAAAATCGTTACATAGAACCCGAGGTTTGTTTTCGTCACAAGATCCATTTGTGGTTTGAGGCAAATGCTGAAGTGTTGAGTAAGAATATACTAGGGTTTATGCCGCCTATATCGAAGAGGTTTCATGTCAACTATTGGCTAGCGGTAACTTCAAAGCTATTGACATAATGGCCTCGGTAAACGGCGTAAACAGGCCTGTCTCATGCTTATTGAGTCAACAGGAGTTGATAATATTCCCTTCATTTCTAATCGACAAAACAACTCTTTATCTCTACGGCTACTTATTTTTACAAATTAGTTCGCGAAACATTTATTTGGGGTATGCCTTTCACCCGATATATACTAAACATATGTGACCCCTATTACTATTGTAGTATTTGATAGTAAGCAGAAGGCTGCAGGTAGCAGTAAATAATCAGTAGACAAGCTCAAAAAGAAAAACGCTGGAGAATTCCTTTACTTTCTGAACTAGCCGCAAACTAGACTGCGTCTTAACTTTTGTGTTAAGTCGCTAAGTTTTCCGTCAAATGTTTTTAGTCTATGTAATGGCTGGACTGTCGTTTTCGTTCAAAGGAAGGTAAAGGAATTTTTCCAATTCTATTCTGTTGCCTGTGTTTTGCCAAATACAAAAGTTGTGCGACGGAGAAAAAAATGTTAGTTCCCGTTTCACTGAAAAGAAAGCTACTAGTAAATTGTTGACATCGTTTCAATACCTTTCCTCTTTAAAACTTATTAATCAGAGAGACCTAGATATTTGTTTAATAGTTGATTTTCCATTGTAAAAAGACTTGATAACCACATGTAAAATGTTCTGAATTTTGTCATACTGTATCAAAGCAACGGTGTGTGTGTTACGGTCTAAGAATAGTTCGAGAGTAATACAAAACATTTCTCCTCAAATGAATCAATCACCCAACTTTTGTAGTGAGGGATGTAGTGAATAAGAAATGGTATAGTTATTCCAGATCACAATATTAAAACGACCCTTTGGCTGCGTGGACGTCCTTAAAAAAATAAATACTGTATTATAATTTGAATATATTATAATAGCATGTATCTTGTACCATGTTTCAAGGCGAGGACCGAGACGTATCTTTGGATTTTTCAAGCTCGGTTCCCACATCTCAGAGTTAGCGCCAGTTATAATACGGTGGTCACATATTGTACCGTGTTTTATAGTGGTGATAGAATGATCATATCCTTATAGTATCATGTTTTATAGTTGTGATAGAATGATTATGTTATACTGTAGCATATTGGTGATAGAATGATCATGTTGTGTAGTAGTATGTTTTATAGTGGTGGTAGAATGATCATATCCTATATTGTACCAGGTGTTATAGTGGTGATAGAGTGATCATGTTATATTGTAATATGATGATATCCTATATTGTACCAGGTATTATAGTGGTGATAGAATGATCATGTTATATTGTAGCATGTTTTATAGTGGTGATAGAATGTTCATGTTAAATAGTAGCATGTTTTATAGTGGTGATACATATTGTGGGTTACATATATACCAATCCGATTAAAACACAGATCCTATTTCGTTTCGTTTTTATAGTTCAAAATTTCGTTTTACTTGTCTTTACTACACTTGGATCTGGAAGACTTGTTTTTTAACTCGTGTTCTGCTTGAAACGAGGGGCCAGCCAATCAAATGGTCTGTCGAATCAAGTGTTTGACCTTTTTTGCCCGGAACTGTGGGTAATCCACTAGTAACATCAATGCTGATTGGTTAATCAAATGTCTGACCCCTGACGTGACCTATCGCTATAACGTGTCAGATCTTCATGTAGTGTAGGCCATCGAAAGTATAAAAAAACGAAACGAAATATAGATCTGTATTTTAACCAGATTGCATATATACGAGGGGAAGTCAGTAAGTTCATAGAAGTAGATATAAAACAGAAGCCAATGGTTGTGATATTGGTTTTATTTTTCAATATAATCTCCCTGGACCTCGATGCCCTTTGCCCATTTGTCTTTGAGACTGTCTATGCCCTTGCGGTAGAAGTCTTCTGACTGGCCCCTCAGCCACGCCTCAGTAGCTGCCTTGAGTTCATCATCATCGCCAAATCTTGTACCACGCAAGTGTGATTTCAAATTGCGAAACAGATTGAAGTCGCTTGGGGCCAGATCTGGACTGTAGGGTGGTGGTTAAGTTGTTCAAAGCCACATTGTTGAAGTGCAGCCTGTGCACTGGAGCGTTGTCATGAAGAAGCATAACTCCAGCAGTCAACATGCCGCGCCTCTTCTTCTTGATCGACGCTCTCAGTTGCTTCAACAAGTCAGCATAGCAGACTCCTGTTATTGTAGTTTTAGGTGGTTTATAGTCTATAAGTATCACGCCCCTTGAATCCCAGAAAATGGTCGCCATGATCTTGCCAGCAGTAGGCTGAGTTCTGAACTTCTTGGGCGCAGTAGAGTGCTTATGCTTCCCTTGCATGGATTCTTGCTTGGTGTCAGGATCCCAGTGATGAATCCACGTTTCATCCCCTGTAACCAGACGGTCATGAAAGTTATTGGGATCAGCATTGTAGATGTCCAAGAGCTCACGACTGGATTCAATTCTCTGGTGTCGATCTTGTGCATTTAAGTTTTGTGGGACCCATCTTGCAGACACATTGGACATGTGCAAGTGCTCATGAATTATGGTGGAAACACTTCCATGAGAATCGCCAGGCTCTGAAGATATCTCGTCCACCTTTATTCTACGATCGGACATGATTAGGCCCTGACCCGTGCAACCATATCATATGTAATGGCTTCAACAGGCCTTCCTGGCCGTGGGTCATCTTCCAAGGAGCGATAACCGCGCGATGCTCAGTTTTAGAACTTTCCATGATTACAGGAGGGTACCTGTGTTCAACAGGCTGTAAATCTCAAGTAAGTGATCGGGAGGAGTTGTTTATGTCTGTAAACTGTCGTCAGATGGCCTAGCTCAATAATAACATCAACCATGATGTCTTCAGGGGTGTATCAATACTCACTTCTATGAATGTATTGACTTCCCTTGTGCGTTACAATTTATAGTGGTTGGGGTGGCTAAGTGTTCGATCCCTGCATTGGCCGAGAAAGATCACCCAGATTATCCGGCGTGGTTACCCCTTGTCAGTGATGTAGGACGGAGGGCCTGACAAGGACAGGTGTCTAGTCGTTCGGATGGGACGAAAGACCGAGGTCCCGTGTACACATTGGCGTGCACGTAAAAAAATCCCTTGACAGTTTTAATTCGATATAAGAGTAAGCCGTAGTGCTGCTGTCCGGACAAAATTTCCCTCATAGCACACTGTATGGCGTATGCCCGTCTTCATTAGCCCAGTCCGGAGCAGAACAATAGGACGTTAAACTCGATTTCATTTAATTTCGTTTTTATAGTGGTGATATAGGGTGTTACATTATACTGTGCTTTGTTTCATAGTGATATTAGAGGGGGGGGGGGGGGAGGGTACATTATATTTGACATTCTATATCGTACCATGTTTTATGGTACTGACAGTTTGATCAGATTAATTTGTACCATATTTTATGGTACTAACAGAATGATCATTATTATATCGCAACATGTTTTATGGCACTGACATAATAATCATATTATATTGTACTATGTTTTATGGTACTGCCAGAATGATATTATATCGTACCATGTTTTATGGTACTGGCAAAATGATCATTTTATATTCTATTACGTTTATGGTGCTGACAGAATTGTCATATTATATTTTATCATGTTTATGGTACTGACAGAATGACCATATTATGTTGTGCCATGTTTTATGGTACTGGCAGAATGATCATATTATTTCGTACCATGTTTTATGGTACATGTACTGTCAGAATGATCATATTATATTGTATCATGTTTATGGTACTGACAGAATTATTATACTGTATCCTGTTTGTGGTACTGACAGAATGATTATAGTATATTGTATTATGTTTATGGTACTGTCAGAATGATCATATTACATTGTACCATGCTTTATGGTACTGTCAGAATGATTATATTATATTGTATCAAGTTTATGGTACTAACAGAATGATTGTACATTGTATCATGTTTATGGTACTGTCAGAATGATCATATTATATTGTACCATGTTTTATAATACTGTCAGAATGATAATTATTATATTGTATCATGTTCATGGTACTGCAGAATGATTATATTATATTGTATCCTATTCATGGTACTACTGAATGATTATCTTACTGTCACAATGATCATATTATATTATACCATTATTATGTTTATAATGGTGATAAAAGGGTCGTATTATATTGTACGATTTTTATAATTCTGGTCATTTTATTTTATTCTACTGTACCATGTTTTATACAGATGCTAAAATGAAGACAATGCTTGGCCTGGTTTCGTAACATAATACAACAGAAATTTTAAGTAAGACAATATCTTCGATTCACCTGTTGATGGCACGAGTTGGCAACTACTCAAACAAATACTTTAATCAGTGGACAAAGGAGTAGCTTTTGAGATTTTTAAAAGAATGTAAGTGTTAATGCAGTGGATCCACTGATACACGCGAATTGTCTTTCGTGTGTTGCCAGGGAAGATCATAAAGGCTTGCACCTAAAATTCTTTTGTCACCTTATTTTAAAGTTGCCGCCAAATATTGCCCACGGAGTGACTATTTTAGCCGAATTCGTGATATGTTTATAAATCTATTTTTATGATAGGGAATAGGTTAGCTATCACCCCATTTAGCTGTAAGAATTAACGACAGGTGTCCTACAACAGCCAGGTTTGAGTATCCTTTCTGGAACACGTGATAAATCTTTCCGATTTGAATGTTTTATTTAACTAACATTCTGTGTTTTTTTGTACCTCGGGGGTTCGCTACCGGTGTTTTCCGAGAAAGCGCCTCGGTGTTTTCCGTCTTGGTTTCCCCTTGTCATCGGTGCAGGACGAAGGATCTGACAAGAAACAATGGGACGAAAAACGAGGTCCCATGTACACATTAATGGGCACTTTAAAGAACCTTTGACAGTTGGAATTCGAAATAAGAGTAGGCCGCTGTCCGA